GGGGGGGACTTCGACTATAAAAAAGAAGTCACAGCACGTTTTCGAAGGAGAAGCGGGGGAAACTAAATGTTGTTCTGTTTCCAGGGGCACATGTTTGCATGCTTTAGAAGGCAGAGTGTGACAAATGAGAGGTGGAATGGCAGCTCTGAGGAGGGGAGGGGATATCTGTTAGAAAGCAGGAAAAGTCGTGGTCCAAAGCAGGTAAGGACGAATTAGGAGAGGGGACTGATGTGTCTGAGGCTATAAGGAAGAAAGGCAGCCGGAGCCTCTGGGCGGCCAGCAGGTGCGCTCAGTTAGAGGCTTCGCAGGAGACAGTGTGGTTCAGGGGTGACAGCCCCTGCGATGGGCTGGGGCACAGCGCCCATTCCAGGCGCCCCAGAAGCAGCAGAAGTCAGGAGCCTCGTGTGAGTTCTCAGGAGTGTAAGTCTCTGGAAATGGCTCTGATTCCAACGGGCAGCCAGAGGCTCTGGGAAGTGGGAGAAAGTTTGCGTCAGGTTGGAGAGAACAGTAGGGGAGAGGGTGGTGTCCCCAAAGGGTCAGGCTTCTGCTCTTCTGGCACAAAGGGGAAGGGAGGAGGTGAACAGGTCAGTGGGGCAAGGGTGGCGGGCCTTTTATGACGTCGCCAAGGAAGGGCAGCAAGTTCCTAAGGCACTAAATTCCTCTTTTAAAATTTAGAACATTTATAGCTGCCCTTGCTCTACCTGTGATCAATCAGGAATGAAGAGCAAATGTCTTCATAGTAAATAAAGAAAACAGTACTGGATATCTGAATCACCTTCTATGCATTTCCGTAATTTTCTCATTAACCACCAGTAGGAAATATCAAGTTATAATTATATATAAAAATGTACAAATGGCAGAAGAGACCATTTGTAAAAGGAAAACACAAACTCTAAAAATAGGGGGAATATATTTCATATCAGGAATAAAGAAATGTACCTCTTTCACCTTATAAACAAATCCCTTGTCCCTACCAAAATTATAATTATTAGAACATTTGCAGATACACTTTAAATTAAAGACTATAAATATTAATAGTGAATGTAATAAGTACAGATTATGAATATTAAAGTAGAATTATAATACTAATGCTGTATTAAAAATGGCATTATGCATTCGATGTGATTCTTTTAGAAAACAATTTGGCATTGAGTCAAGAAAATTGTCCACAGCCTTTGATCCAATAATTCTATATCTGGATATTTACCCTAAAATAATTAGCCAAAAATATGAAAAAGTCATAAGTAGGATGATTCTTATTACAGCTTAATATTTAAAACAGCAATCAGTGGGAGTAGCAGCCTCGGGTCGGATCCAGATGGGAACATCTGGGTTGGTCTGAGAGCTGTGCATGTGAGTGGTGCACAGGTGTCCACCGATGCACACTGGTACGTAAATGGGCAGGGAGGCTGCCCTCAGGAATAGGAGACAGTGGGGAGAGGGCACGTGCGGTTTTCTTGGCCCAGCCCAGCCAATAGAATAAGACAGGACTGATGACCAAAGAGAGAGACTATCAAGCTCTGAGTTCAGGAAAAAATTTTCCTTTTCCATTCTAATTAAGGGGCCACAGCATAGTGATTAAGGTACTAGCTGTGTGAGCATGGACAAATTACTTAACTTCTTTGAACCTCAAATTCTTCACTTTCCCAATAAATATTCTGCATCTCTAGCTTACTCTTAATAATAGATTGCTCTTGTGCTTAGCACTGATGTATATAATCCTCATAACCCTATGAAAGATTTATCCACTTCATGCATTTAATACTTACACTGTGTTTAACAAATGCTAGACTCTGCTCTAAGCACTTGACAAAATTTAATACATTTCATCTTGATTGTAGCCCCCTGAGGATTGTACTCTTGTTATCTCACTTCACAGATGAGGAAACTCAGAGGCTCAGAGGAGTTAAGTAACTTCTTCTGGGTCATGTAACCACTGAATGGTGCTCTTAGGATCTGTCCGAGCCCACACTCCCAACCACCATAGGGCACCCCAACTTCCTTCCCCATATATTTATGACGTGATACTTCTCTACACTTTGAAGGTATATGATGACTAGGTAAACCCATATATTTTTTTCTATAAGTCACATTGAAAATTACCAAAAAACCCCACATGAAATATATATCCTTTATTTGGTTTATATACATTACTAGAGGACTTACAAAAAAAGATTAAACATCACTACACATTTACTCTAAAAAGTCCTTTATTTCCTCTTCAGTAGAACCCAGTGGAAAAGGTGGGGAAGGTAATACAGGAGATTTAGGGAAATGAGATTGACTGGGATTAAGGCTCAGTGGGGACCCGTGAACGAAGAGGAGGAGCTGGCTGAGCGGGACCTTCCCATCCCCAGACACTTGAAGGCAGACCCAGTGCACAGGTTAGATTCATTCTGTACACAGCCAAGGAAAAGAATTAGTGTTGAGGGGTGCAGAGTGTAAGCTGACAGATTTCAGGTAAAGGTAAAAAACGGTCTACTAGTTACTCTGATCAGAGATGCAATGTGATGCTATTTTGGGTAACAAGTTCTTTATCTCTACAGGTATTACATTTCAGGCACTTTGGTGTAATATCAATTCAAGAGCATTAGATTTAATGTCACAAGCATCAGATTGAATCTGTCATTTGCCGCCTATGTGACCTCAAACAACTTCATCTCTACATTTTTGTTTTCCTGTCTGTAAAATGGGGACATAATCAGAATTATAGAGATGTTGTCAGGATATAATAAAATACCACCAGTAAAGATCTTAGCACAATAACTAGAGTGGTGCGTAGACGCGACCACTGCAGTGGCATGTTTTATTAATGCAGTTTGAATGACCACGTTGCAGATTGTTGTCGTAGGGAACCAAAGCATTAAACTTTATAATGGTTTCACTGAAAGATGTGAAGGGTCCCTTACGCTCTGAGAGCCTGAGCTCTGACTCTGTGACCCACCCTGGCACACAGTTATCACATCGGAGAAGCAGGACTGTGCCCCATATCCCTGAATTTGGGTCAGCCAGGAGGCCATAAGGGTGAAATGGAGACATTCAGCTGAGAAAAAGCCTCGAGGCTCCTGGTCCCCCTGCTTCTGGGCCGCCCCCTTCGTTTGGGTGAGGACATGGCTGCCAGGTCAGAGGTCACAGCCCAGGTCCAGGACCCTCTCCTCCCACCATCCCCCCTCTTCCCAATCTCCCAGACAAATGGAAATTTCAGAGTCGTGCGTCCTGCCTGGCAGAGAGGATCTGGCTAAAGGTCCAGGATTGCAGCGTAAGTGTGAATGTGACCCAGACACTGGGGGAAGGAGCAAAGACTAACTGAGGTCACCTTGGACGTGCTCTGGCGATGTCTGCGGTCATTGCTTCAAGCACTGTTGGCCTGTGTCCAGGACGAGGTGGAAGTTGGGGCGCACCGGAGGCCTTCCCGGGCGG